TTGATTGTGGGGGTTGAAATGTGAGATTGGCAAAACAATATATTGCAAAGTAAGGAAAGTCACAAAATGCCCACAAAATTACTTTAACAGCAGCTTTGTGAAATGAAAGTATCTATAGCCATCCATCAAGTCACATCCTCGCTCAACCTGATGAGTCTTTTTGTTGTTGTGGCTGGAAGGTAATAATAATCTTTGCATTTGATAGAAATTATTATATTGTTAAGACATCTCAAAGTGCTTCACAGGATTTTATTGTGAAGTATAGTGACTGTATTTGTAGATGAACACAGCAGCCAATTCGTACAGAGCAATGTTCCACAAATAGCCACAATGTTGGCGAGGATATCAAGAGAAACTCCCTTCCCTTTCCAGTATTGTCATGAGATCTTTAACATAAGCCTGAACAGGCAATGGGACCTCAGTTTAACATCTTATCTGTCACCCCCAACAATGCAGCACACCCTCAGCACCATATTGGCACTTGCCCGACTCCACTGGCTTTCCATCACACAGAGGATACAGTTTAAGATCCTGGTCCTCACCTTCAAAGCCCTCCATGGCCTTGCTTCCCCCTACCTCTGTGACCTCAACGTGGGGTTTGAACTTAAAATCTTCTGACTCAAGAGGCGAATGTGTTACCAACTGAGCCAGGCTGACATTGCCTCATATCCAGTAAACATCAATGGAAGTCCCCAGCTGAAATGACAATATGACCTTGTTAGGTTACGAAATGTTGGGGGGCACAGCTTTCAAAAGTTTTTCCTCTCAATTGGTATAAAAAATACTTTCTTTTAAAAAATAGGGATCAGTGGTAACAATATTGCGTAAACTTAGAATAAATCAAAACCTGCTTTTCACATACTTTAGCTTCACTATGGTTTTCTTTTCTGAAAAAGGACTTATAGACTGATAGCATAGCAAAGGAAACTGGTGAATCATGTTACAAAGCAGCCATGTACTTTACTCTAAGGTGGAAAATGTTATCAGATTTGTTCATATTTGGAAGTTCCCTGATAGCTGTTATCTATACTGCAACTTTTTTTTATCTACCATCAGCCCTTTCAAATAGTTACATAACCATTTCTTGTCTGCAAATGAATAAGATAAAATAGTTCTCAGAATAGGAGTAGTGCTACATGGAACTACATGCACAACTTCAATCAAAGTCAATTAGAAGATCTGTTTTTCTTATCAGTTCCATGGTGGGTGTCGAGACATCCTGTCACTATTATCATTCACTATCTTTGCAGAAGTTAATATATGCAGCATCCTACAATCACATTGATAAAGAATTGAAGATTGAAGATATTCAGAGTTTGCAAAAAGATCACTGAAGAAGTTAGCATGGTGCAGGCATGATGAGCCAATCCAGTCCTTTGCTAAAATTTCTATGATTCTATAGATTTGTATCTCAACAACTGAGCAAGTTTTTTTTTAAACTTACTATCCCACTATACAAGTAAAAAAAACTATCTGAACTGCTCACTGTTTTTAGTTAGCGGTGTAACCATGAAATCCAGTTTCGTAATGTTTGAGAACTTTTAAAGTTGGAATTAGTTACCTAATACCAAACCTTGCTTTTAATGTAGTTCGTTTCTTTGTCTCTGCCACTGTCTGACACCGCAGGCAGCCAAAACCCTCATGCACGCTTTCATTACATCGAGGCTTGACTACGCAAACTCCTTGCTTGTCGGCCTCCCCAACTCCTCTTTCAATAGGCTGCAGATCATCCAGAACTCTGCAGCCCCATGTCCTCTCCCGCACAAGGCTCCGTGACCCTATCTCCCCCATCCTCACCCGACTCCATTGGCTTCCCATCACACAGAGGGTACAGTTCAAGATCCTGGTCCTCACCTTCAATGCCCTCCATGGTCTTGCTCCTCCCACTTAGGGGAAGAGAGGGGCCTTCTGCCACCCTGCCCCCATCCTCTGGAACTCCATTCCACAGTCCCTCCGCCTCACCCCCTCCCTTACCTCCTTCAAGACCCATCTCAAGATCCTCCTCTTCGACCGTGCTTTTGATCACCTTGCTTCTCCCCCTCCCCGATCCCGACCCCCAGTTCGGGTCCACACCTCTGCTTATCCAGCGCCTTGGGACATCATCACGATACCCTTCCTCCGTCATCCACCTCAGTGGGACCGCACTCGCCTGGTTCGAGTCCTACCTCACAAACCGCCAGCAGTACATCTGCACAAACGGCTTCTCCTCCCGCTCTCACCCGGCCACCTGCGGGGTATCCCGAGGATCCATCCTAGGCCCCCTCCTCTTTCTGATCTACAAGCTCCCTCTTGGGGATGTCATCCGCAGACATGGGGTACATTTCCACATGTACACAGACAACACGCAACTCTATTTTTCCACCTCTCTTTGCGACCCCCAGTCCCCTGATGTTCTGTCAGTCTGCCTGTCAGATCTCAGGGGCTGGATGAGCGCAAATTTCCTTCAGCTGAATGTTGACAAGACGGAAGCCATACTCTTTGGGTCTCGTCAACGTCTAAAATCTCACGGTTCTCACCTCCTTCACCTACCCAACCTCCCACTAAAACTCTCCAAACCCGTACACAACCTAGGCATCAGGTTCAACCCCCAATTATCCTTCCTCCCCCACATCCGGTCCCTCACCAGCCTTCTTCCACCTCCAACGTATCACCCATCTCCGCCAATACCTCTCTCCGAAAGCTGCTGAAACCCAAGTCCATGCCTTTGTCACCTCTCAGCTGGACTATTCAAATGCCTTCCTCCCATCCACTACCATTCATAAAATCCAGATCATTCAAAACTCGTCACCCACATTCTCACCCGCACCAAACTCCACTCCCCGATCACCCCAGTCCTTGCCAGACTGCACTGGCTCCCTTTCCCAGAGAATCGACTACAAGATCCTCACCCTTGTATTCAAATCCCTCCACTCCTCTGCACCCCCCTAACTCTCTGACCTCCTCTCTCCTCAAAACAGTACCCGTTGCCTTCGTTCCTCTGGGTCTGGCCTCCTCCTCGTCCCGAGTCCTCCGCTCCACCCTCGGCAGCCGTGCCTTCAGCCACCATGCCCCGAGGCTCTGGAATTCCCTGTCTCACTCCCTTCACCTCGCCCCCTCTCTTCCCATTTTCAGGTCTCTGCTGAAGACCTTTCTTTTCGACCGCACCTTTGGTCACCTTCCTCCCCTTTCATCCTGGCTCAGCCCCGGGATCCGTTACTGTAAAGCGCTCTGAGATGCAATCCAGCTTGGAGGGCGCTATATAAATCCAAGTTGTTGTTGTTGAAAGTCACTATACAAAATGTAAATTTGTTGTTTTTTGTCTATTTGTTCATTTCGATTTATCAGCGAATCTTTGACGTAATCAGAGGAACATTCTTGGGAGGAAATACTGAGTCTGATATTAAGTGGGAGATAATTTAACATTGATAAGTACTAGACACCAACACATTAGGTTTTAATCAATTTAGCATTTTAACTGTTTCAGTGGCTTGGGACATCCTCCCTACGTGAAAGGCGCTATACAAGTGTAATTTTGTTGTTGTTTCAGCTGTATTAATACAGCTATTTTGTAGCTTGCATGCCTAAAATCAAAGCTTTACTTTCATTTCCCTGCAATTTGTCATCTTTCTGTTTTGGTCATTTCTTAGAAGACAAAAGAGTGAGATTAGAGAATAGAAATTTACAAACAAAATGAACAGGATGGTGATATACAGAAAATTCATTATCCCTCAGAAAATAACACTCAAGTTAAATTGTCCAGTGCAGAAAGTGTTGCCTTTATATTGATGGTCAGCAGTGAAATGTGTTCTGCAAAAATATATCCTTGGAACTAGAGTTATGTCATAAATGTGGCTTTTTTAGAAAACAACATTTGGTTCAATGCTGGGTGAGGGAACTATAGCGAGGCATGCTACGAAGCTGCCATTTACTTTACATTGAGATGGAAGATATTATTAGGGTTATTCAAATGTGGAATTTCCCTGTTTGGTATTCAGATGTACAGCTTCAAATTAAACTTTTATATGTGAAGCATCTATTTATCTATCTTTTCAAAGCAAATTGGATAACTATTTCTAGACCATAAATGGATGAGAAGCTGTTGAATGAATATCAACTCTACATGAGTAAACGTGCAACACTTCAATCTATGGCAAATAGTATTTAATGTTAGAATACTGCACTGCAATAGAAAAGCGTTTAATTTTATCAACTCTGAACTGGGTGTTGGAAATTGCAATATATTTTGCAATGTACTTTTAGACAGCTGACAACATATCCATGCAACCGATTGCCTTGTTGATGTGCTTTTATGCAAAGTGACTACACAGGAAAATCCATCAGGTATATTATTATTGACACATTTTCCCCCAACTTGTATTAGAAAGTTAGTTACCTTAAAGAAAGACTTTATGATAAAGTGAAGTCAGACATGGTTATCTTCTAGTGAAGACATTTGCACATTTGGTCTTTTTTCTTCGCTTCCTTAACATTACCCGCTTCCGCCTCTCCCTCTCTCACCAAATTGTGCCGAAACCCCTATTCATGCCTTTGTTATCTCTCGCCTACACTTTTCAAATGAACTCCTGAATCAAGTGCAGCAGTTCGGAAGTGTGGCAACATCTCCATCAGTGCTTCAAGATGATGGCCAGCACACAGGAAACCAAAGCCCAAATCATCCAGGTTGCTGCTGTCATCCACTGTGCATGCAGGAAATATCAGCAACAACTTCATGACCCATAAATTGGCCATTTTTACTTCTCCTGTACAGGTTACTGTTTTGAAAGGCTGATGAAGCCAGCCATCTTTCTAGCATAAATTGCACACTTGCAGATACAAAGAATATTGTTACTGTAGCTACTTTTATGTCAGGATTGGCAACACGAATCACAATTCTTGAAACTGGATTGCTGGGACTGATCAACGTTGACGATGACTGGAGTAAGTCAAGCAAGCAAGTAACATGGGGCCCCAACAAACTAATCATAAGTTAATGCAGTTGCAAATCAAAAATGTGACAAAAGTTTGAAGTTTTACAAATCCAACCTTTTACTGAACCTTTGCATCACCAAGATTCTATATTTCTATAAAGGCACAAATCATTTCTAAAAAAAACAACATAGATAATATAAACTTTTATATCATGTATCCCAACAGGACAATGAACTGTTCCCAATGATAAGTGAAAGAAACTAACAAACATGCTATCAGACAACAATTCCTCCATAGATACGGCAACAGGGAAAAGACCACATGACCTATATGGCTTCTGTAACACCAAGGAGAAAAACAATTATGCAAAAATGATGGCTGATTATTTGAAAGCATTAGGAGCAAATTCCCTTAACCGTATTTAAATCTAAAACACAATTTCATATTGTTCTTCGCACTCCATAGTTCCTGATAGTCATTTTGATGTGGGGAGAGAGTCATTGCTGAGCTGTTGTTGCATTAGTCTCTAGTGTTCCTGACGTAGCCTTCGGAGCAGGTTGCCTGCCCCAGAGGCAAGTAGCAGAATGAGACCTTTTGTTGGCATGCTTTCTGTCTTGTCTTCTCATTGAAAGGTACTTTCTTACCTGATACCATTATCAGAAAAAGAGTTTAAGCAGCCCTTAGAAGACCAAATTTACATTGCATAATTATCAACCTACGCAAATGTTACAACTGAAAAACAATAGCTGTTCGAACAGAAGCTCTCTTTTTATTATAGTTTCAACAACTATATTCAGTTATCATTTTTTTGATTAAACCAAATTTACAGCTGTATCCCCCGCTCCAGTAATCACATCAGAAATCCGAGGACATTGTAAAATATCACAAAGCTCTAATGTCCTAAGTATGTTTCCAGTTGTATTTTCTGAATTATATTGTAAATACCAATCAATTCAGGAGTTTTTAATACTATAAATCAGTGGTGGCCAACCTTTATTGTCAGCCAACAAAACAAATTTTCTTGATTGAATATTTCTTGATTGATGCCATAAATCAAGAAAAAAATGGAAACACACTATTGATTGAACACAGACTTATCTAGACTAATGAAAATGTCGTGGGGCCACTTTTGGCCCACGGGCCATGGGTTGGCCACCCACTGCTGTAAATGGATTGTTTTGTTTTATAAATGTTATAGCAAATTGCACTTCACAGTTTAGCACATTGTACAAATGGCATCTTTCCAGGCTTTCCAGCCTTACAAGCATTAAATATCACAAGATTGCAGTAAACAGTCCACGTATGTCACTCCCCTAACATACAAAGCATCTTTCAAAAGGTAAACTGTACAGAACTGGATAACTATTTAGCTTATATAACAACTAACATGAAATTCTATCAAGACAACATACCTTCAGTGCTATCAGAACTGTGAACCAATAAATAACATGTGCTGTGTGATTCTGTAAGAACATGGACATTTTTATTCCAACTATTAACCGTAGTGTGCTAAGTTTAACAGACTAACTTCTGTGCCGATACGTACAGTATTTGCATTCAGTTACAGCTCTGGTATAATTCACAAATCTCCATTTTCACTGGTTAGGAAACAATTACATACTGAAATAGATTTTAATAGTTTCTTATTAACTGAAATACAACTAATAACCTAGTGTAACTGATTATTTGTGAGAAACAAGTTATGGCCTCTGAATGCAGGTATCACATCTCTAAGAAATGTGCAATGAACTAGTTGTTATATATATTATATATATATATTATACATTGTATTGGGTCACAAAACTGATAGAATTATAGTATAGCCTCCCTCTAAAACAGACCAAATCAGTTGATTCTCATTGAAAATAGAAATTCATAACAAAAAAGGTTAGAAAAGTGGATTTCTAGCCATGGTACTATTTATAAATATTCCAACTGTTGCAGGAAATACCTCACTTCTAGCCTCCAACATTTCTTTCTCCATCCCATCTTTCCTATATTTTTTCTATCTTGATGCTATTATGGCCAATGCTCCCAAGAGTTTTCCCCTCTTGCTCCTCAGTAGCTCCAAATACGACATCTTAAATGCTCTTCGTCTCTTCTCTGTGCTGACATCAATACTCTCTCGACTTCAACTCATTCTTTTACAGGACCTAAAGACTGTAGAGCTACGTATCTTGCTTCAGTTTCCCTTTCCTCTACAAACTGCAATCTTATAAAATCAAAGCTTGGTTACACCTCATCATTTCTTCTTGATTTCTCATTTTCTTGGCTTTTCTTTTCAAGCTGGAAGTTCTGATTAAGCCCATCACCTGAGTTCTCAATAATAACGTTCTGGCAGCTAAAAGCCTCAATTATTATATTTGTTATACATTAAAATCTGAAATGTGACATGTTAAAATGCAGAACAGTTGTAAACTACTGTCTGCTAACTTAACGGTAAGTGGCACCAGAGCAGTACAACAAAAATCATACCACCCTCAGATGTCCAGTTCTGGTACCTTTGCTGACAACCTCATTTGTTTACCTCTTACTAGTAATGTACCAAATGCTGGCAATATGCAGATAGAACAGCAAACAATTACTCCACTTATGCTTGGATTTCAAAAGGGAATTATAATGTGGAGCAACATCCTCAGCTGCTATCTTTCAACAGCAATATACTAATACAGCAATTTCGGATAAACTGAAGTCTCGGTAAAAATATTGATGTTATTGCGACATTACTATTCTCAGAATGTTCATTGTGTATTATAAAGGCCTCTGTCTCAAACAATACATACACATTTTGATTTATTTTCTAAAGTCATACCATATAAGAAAAATGCACAGGTAGTATAATTCTGCATTTTAATTTACTCAAAAATAACTGTACTTAACTTATTATCAAGTAAGTAGCACTTGCAACCAACATGTTTTTGCCCTACAGTAACGGAATAAAATCAGGATTATTCTGCTTCAATGTGCATTTTTCTACATGTAATCTATTGGGGCCATTTGAGCACAAATGCTATCAATGACATTTTACCTGCAAAAAGCCATGTCCACAACTAAAATAAGTGAAACATTTCCAGTTGATGAAATGATTAGTAAAATAACAGGAAGGTATGACAGTTTACCCCTTGTTATAAATAATAGTTGTAAAATGATGTTATCTTACAGTTTAATAAAAAAAACTTACAGTTTAATAAAACTCCATGAAGGCAAATGTCTGCTTTCTGTAAGAGTTTTTTAAAAAATAATGCATGTATTTACATATCCTTCATGACAAATACACTATTCATTTTCAATCTTGAGCGACATAATCCATACGACGTTTGTTGGCTGACGAACCAACACAGCAAAGGTTTTACTAGACATACCCCACTCCCAATTTTCAGAGATTGAAGCAACACCCATTCATTCATAGGCTCCAACGGAAAAATGCCACATAGACATGTAATTGTTTTAAAGAGATGTTGAATGGCTAATAACAGTCTTCAGATAAAGAATCAAGTTGTTTATGCATAGAATTTAAGTCTTCAGTCACTGTATCAGATTTCTCTTCACCTCCCTCTTCAACCCTCACTGAAATAATATTCTCAGACTTGGGCGCTTGTTCTATGGTGTTGTCAATTAATTTATGGTTGCCATTTTCTTTAATTTTGACCAAACCTTCGCTGTTGGTGTCTGTACTTTCTTTGTCCTTTTCACTACTATGCCCTTCGTCATTACTGCACTCTCTTTTCACCTGTAAAATAAAATATATTAAAATCATAGACAGCAATAGTATAATAATTTAAATATACCCTGTACCTTTAATCATCTTAGTTTAAACATTTTGGGTGGAGCGTGTAAGCCAAGACAGTTTTTGTTGTTACAGAAAACATTACAAAATGTAACTTGTATGACTCAAAGTAAGATATCATGAGGAAAACTGATGATTTTGTACTTCAGCTGACAGCCAATGTTTCAGACTTGAGCTGGGGGGCGGGATTGGGGAGGGTGGAGGGCAGGGGGGAGAAGCAAGATGATTGAGTTGAAGAGGAGGGTCTTGAGATGAGTCCTGAAGGAGGCAAGGGAGGGGGTGAGGAGGAGGGACTGCGGGATGAAGTTCCAGAGGGTGGGGGCAGAGTGGCAGAAGACCTGTCCGCCAAGGGTGGGGCGTCGAAGGAGCGAAGCAGGCCGGAGCCCGCTGAGCGGAGGGAGCTGGAAGGATGTTAGGAGGTCGCAGAGGTAGGGAGGAGCAAGACCATGGAGGACCTGGATCTTGAACTTTATCATCTGAGTGATGGGAAGCCAGTGGAGTCGGGCGAGGATTGGGGTGATAGGGTCAGGGAGCCTGGTGCGGGAGAGGACATGGGTGCAGAGTTTGGATGATCTGCAGCCTATGGAGGGAGGAGTTGGGGAGACATCTTTGTTACAGGTAAGGTTTCTATATTTATTCCTCCTACAGCTTATTTAATTTATGCTAGTAACATAAATAACTACCATGGACAGGGGAATAGAGGGGGAAAGGAGAAGGGAATAAGAAGGATGCGGCTCGTATAGAGTATAAACGGTCTCATTCCGTGTCATATTACTTTATGTAACTATTACTGAAGGCTAAATAGACTGAAAAAAATGAAAGATCTGATACTGATAGATGTATAAACAAAGAGACATATAGAGAGGCATGAATAATTTGCTGAGGTAAAAATCAACAGACATTATTGTCCAGAGCATAAGTCAAAAAACTAGTATTTTGTAATTACTGAAAAATTATTGTACAACCGTTCTGGAATAGACTGGGTAGTCCACTATTCCTCCACTGTTTATTCATTACATAAGTCTAATCTTCAGCGAGCTTAACTACACATCAGAGAAGAATCTTCATTTCCCATTTACTTATTCTTGGTGCTTTACTCAAAGTCAGTTATTCAGACTCAAATGAGAAATAGAAATGAGTCTTGGTATAACAGGAGAATTTTTACTGTCTATACTTGAATAGAAATAAAATATAAATATGCTTGTGGTATTCACCTTTGTAACCAAATCATCAGATCCCACCTTGGTGTCTGTTTTGTCCAACTTTGATTTCCGTTCCTTCTCTTTGTCTTTCTTTTTCTTTGAGGTAGAATGCTCCCTTCTGCTCCTGTCTCGGCTCTGAGCTCTTGAATTTCCTGTGATCTTGTCTCTGTCTCTGCTGTGCTCTTTGTCTTTATCCTTCCTTTTTTCTTTCTTACTTCTGGCAAATAAACAAAATTGTGGTATAAAACTGGCATTATAAAAACTAATCATACATGGTCAGTGTTTCGGTTTATTCTTTAATATATTATGTTATACAGCTACAAAAAAACTGTAGATGTAATCAGTGGCATTTCTTCAATCACCTTCAACACAGTACAAAATCAGAAAGCTAAGTTAATTTCAGGTGAGACCCCCCCCCCCCCCCCCCCCAACACCTTGGGACATCATCCTGACATGAAAGGCACTAATATGAATGCAATATTGTTGTTGTTCATTAGGAACAATCCAAATTAGATTCAACACAAGTTTCTGAAAGTGAGATTTCAATTAAGTCAGCTTTTTTTTCCAACTATACCACTTTGGTAGTGGTTGTTCACGTCTCACCACCACCGGTGGAACTGTCTCCTACAAAAGGCTGTGGACAATGGATCCATTCACATCTTCAAGACTGAGTTGGACAGATATTTTTTAGGTCAGGGTCTCAAGGGATGTGGGGCAAGGGCGGGTAATTGGAATTGAGGTACACATCAGACATGATCTTATAGAATAGTGGAATAGGCTCGAGAGGCTGAATGGCCTACTCCTGTTTCTATGCACCCGTCATATTTTTGAATTATATTGCACTGTATTGTAATAAATTATCCAGTTCGACAATTTCTGTAAAGGCCCACCTTCTCGGAGAAGCTGATCTTGAAAACTTTCTTTTTGGTGTTCTTGACTTCCTTTTAGATGGACTCCTGCTTTTCTTTCTGAACCTCTCTCTATATAAACAGAATTACACACAATATTCAAATCAACAGGTAAGATGTAACAATGAAATAGACAATAAGAGAGTATGTGCCTGTGGAGAGTAGCAAAACAGAAATAGGAGAAGGTCCATCAAGCCTGTTCCATTGGATCTAGACAGATCTTTTCATCTCAATGCCCTCCATTTTTACTTTGACAACCCAAGTCTCTCCCCCCCACCCTTGCTTGACATGTAAATCATGAAAGGCGTTATATAAATGCAAGTTGTCATCTCTGATACCACTCATAAATTTCAGTTAAAAAGCGCTAGGATGTTTTTCCTCTGTTGGATGGACCAACCTGGAAGGACAACTCGATCATCATCAGCCTCTCTGCCCCCACCCTTTGGAATTCCATCCCACATTCACTTGGCTTCTTCAAGGCACGTCTCAAGACCCTCCTCTTCGGCCACCCTCCTACCCTCCCTGATCACACTCACTCCCCACATCTGGCCCGGGTCCAAATCCTGGACTGTCCAGTGCCTTAGGATGTCCAATCAATGTGAAAGGCGCTCCACAAATGTAATTTTGCATTGTATTATATCAACTCAAGTAACAAACAGCAACAGCTTGTTATATAGGCCCTCCACACAGGGCAGTGTCTCAGAGCGCTTAACAATGGTGGAGCCGGCGCCACCCGTGAAACCAAAGCCAGATCCATTCGATCATATGCCAGCTTAAGTGAAGGCAGGTACTTCAGTGCTTAAACCCTACTGCTAACTCAACACTACGTTGTTTTCCAAATTAGACATTTCTCTAGTTTTACGAATTAACATAACTATAAACAGTTCAGGTTTATCACAAGGTATCTCACCTGCTTGGGCTCCGAGAGCGTCTGGATAAGCTATAGTTTCTTTGCGGGGTCCTGGATTTCTTTTCTTTCTTTTTCCCATATTCTCTGTCTACATCTTTATATCGCTCCTTTACTTTACTTTCCCTTTCTTTCTTCCTTTCCCTGTTAGCATGCACAGATAAAAAGGATAAGGATTAGAAGATGAGCTTCAAAACAGGAAGGAGTTAAATCACTTGTGGTTTGGTATAATTTTGTAGCAGTTTTCAACTAATTCAGAATTAAATAGTTTAAACTTCTTTGCCCCTCAGGACAAGTATTTTGATAATTATTGTAATTTATTCAACTTTATCATTCAAGATAGTACAAAATGCATACCCTCATAAGGCTCAGTTGAGAAAATACCACAAAGTGGTGCAACAGTAATCTAACTGAATACTTTGATAACATTCCTCCAGAGAAAAATAATTAATGCCAAATTTAACCTCAACTGTTATTGGAAGCACATGGCTCAACATAATGAGTTAAATTCAGTTGAGAGCTGAAAATAAAACATTCAACAAAAAAAAGACAACATTTTTCTCAAGTGTTTAGTGACCATTTAGTCATCTATAAGAAAGGTCAACTTTACAGAGACTCAAGATATAAATAACAAACGAGAAGATGAAGTGATGACATGTTGACCATAGAGACTTATACACTTTGATCACCTTGGATTTCATGCATGAATCAAAAACATCTGAATAAAACAATTATTTTACGCACTAAATTTCACCCACAAAATGCACAGTCAATCCACTTCACAGTATTTCCTGTGAAACGCTTTAAGACGTCTCAACAACTTGATAAGGCGCTAGAACAAATATAAGGGTTATTACTATTATTTTAGAATTAGGCATTTCTTACTCAGTTTTTCCAAGAAAAATTTATTTAGATACAATTATACAAAATCTCATATCACCAATATCTTTTAACTAAATTGTGGGGGGGGAAATCCTAAAATAAATTAACAATATAAACGTTCACATCTATTACACTGATTGACCCAGTGAACACTGATGGGAAAAACTTTTAGACATTATGTGGAAAGAATCTTATAAACATTGAGCTCCATCTGGTGGATATCAAAAGAAATTCATTCTATACCAGGCTATTCTCTAGATATACAGTGTTTCAGTAGAGGACACATCCACTTTCAGATTTTTCCCTCTTCTATTAACAAGAGTTGATTGAACAATGATATGTAACATAGCCTATTTCGTAAGGAATTAACACCCATGAGATACATTTCAAGCGAAATCTCAAAAGAATTGTCAATCTCCTCCTGTCCCAAGCTTTGGCTGAATCCCAACTTCGGCAACTGTTACAGATTTCCACTATAACTACTGAGAACACATAAACTCACATAATCCACTTACTGAACAACAATGTCCAATCCACAGCTTTTAAACCATCATAATGCTTGAAAAAAAACAACCACTCCAAATTTCCACTCTTGAAACTTTTTTTTTTACATTCAGAATCTTAAGATTGAACAATCAATTTAAACATACTTAAAACAGAAAAAAACTTAATGATCTGAATACTGTATTCAATTTGATAAACGCAGGAACTAACTATTCTGCTCAACCTGGAAGCTCAACAAAAACTATCGACCTTCCACTTCCTGCACAGAGCCTGATCAACACGCAGGAAGCGGAGGGTGCACTATGTATGTCTGACGTGTAGTTGTTACAAAGTTCTGAACCACTTGACAAGGGAACCTGAGACAAAATGGCTGCTGCAACATCACTTCCCGTGAAATGCGCAAGAAGTGACAATGTGACTAGGCTGTAATAAGGTACAGTCAAGATGGCACTTCCTGCACACGTGCACTGCGCAAGAACAATAACTTGCATTTACACAGTGCCTTTCACACACAATAGTGTCTCGGAGTGCTGCAAGAAGCAATGTCAAGGATAGTTACTTTTATAATGAGCGTAAGTTAGAGAGAGTACACATGATATGAGAGGCAAAAGAGAGATAGAGTGATTTAGTGAGAAGGAAGGGGGGAAGACATGGGTAAAGAAGTAGGAATGAGTGAGGGAGTGTGACCCCCATCAGCCTTGATTGGTACCCAGCACCATCTCTATAAAGTGTTTCAATACATTATTTTACATAAAGGACCATCTCTATATCCAAACTGTTCAGATGGTAAAGAACGAGTTTGGACAGTGAATAAGACAGAAAGACTCTTAGAGAAAGAACGACAAGGCGAACAGACATACAGAGGGAACAATCGCACAACAAAATTAAATAGTGAAGGGTGGGGGGGGTGTAGATGGACAGATACAAGAAGGCACAGAATAACAGGCAAACAAAAGACAGAGACTCAACAAAAACTTGCACTTACATAGTGCTCTCCACGCAGGGTAGCGCCTCAGAGCACTTAACAGTGGCGAAGCCTGACTCCGAGCTGGGGGTGGGAAGGTGACCATAAGCACGGTCAGAAAGAAAGGTTTTCAGGCAGGACTTGGAAAAGATGAGAGGGATCCGCAAGGCGGAGGGATTGAGGGAGAGTCTTCCAGAGTTTCAGAGCATAGTGGCTGAATGTGCAACCTCCAATGGTGGAGCGAGGGGACGAGAGATGAGCAGGAGGCCGGTGCCAGTCGAGCGGAGGTGCCAGGTGGTGGATTGGGGAGTGAGGAGGTCGGAGAGGCAGGGAAGTGCCACGTAGTAAAGGGATTTGAACACGAGTGTGAGGATCTTGAAGTCGATCCATTCGGTGATGGGGAGCCAGTAGTGCCTGGTGAGATGGGGGTACAGAGTTTGGCCGGGTAAGTAAGCAGGCAGCAGAATTCTGAATGAGCAGGATTTTTTAAATAGTGGAGAAGTGGTGACTGGCGAGGCGAGTAATCCATGCGAGGCGAGTAATCCATGCGAGGCGAGTAATCCATGCGAGTGGTGACAAACACATGCACAAGGGTTTAGGCTGCATTTGGGGTAATGTATGGTCGGAGGTGGGCAATCTGGCAGATTGGAGGAAGGTAGTACTGGTCAGGGACCGGATGTGGGGAAGGAAGGACAAATGGGGGTCAAACCGGATGCTTAGATTGCGCACTGTTTCAGTGAGTCTGAGGGAGAGCGCAGTGAGGTTGAGGAGTTCAGATCCGCAGGAGTGAATACGTTGACGGGAACCAAGGAATATGGCTTCCGTCTTGTCCACGTTCAGCTGCAGGAAGTTTACACTCATCCAGGCCCTGATGTCTGCCAGACAAGATAACAGAGCATCGGCGGACCTGGAGTCGATACTGGAAGAGGCAAAGTAGATTTGTTTGTCATCCGTATACAAGTTCACCCCATGTCTGCAGCATATAAATGAGAATAAAAAGAGCCAAGGATAGAGCCCTGGAGTACCCAGCAGGGGCAGGAAGAGAAACCATTTGCCGAGATGAAGTGGAGGCGGTTGGTTAAGTAGGACTCGAACCATGCGAGTGCGGTCCCACTAAGGTGGATGAGGGAGGAGGCCGTGGAGGAGGATGGTGTGATCAACTGTGCCGAACGCAGTAGCGAGATCCAGGAGGACTTTTCACAAAGTTATACTCACTACCAATAGCTTCGTCCTACTTACACATTCCCGGATAAGTTCCCCTTCCTATTGCCCATCCTGGGATGTGCCACTTTACTATTTTATTGTCATTCTTACCAGGAATTTTTGGCTTTTAAGTCAGAACCTGTCAGATGGCAACACCAGTGGGAATTTGTGTTTGTGTTTTTTTGTACTGCTGAGAAAATATTGTTAAAACACTGTAACTAGAAAGACAAGATATTAGGTTTGATGACAAATTTCAACTGATGTTTACCTTGATCTGGAACGACTTTTAAACCGTCGTCTATCTTTGGATCGGGAACGCTTTTTGCGAGGACTCTTGGATTTCGGTGTTTCTTTGTGTCTCGAGTGGGATCTGCATGGTGACTTGCTCCTGGAACGTCTCAAGAAAAAAAATACAGAATGCTTTGTGATGATAAAATTACAAAGAGTTACAATACAGTAAATATGCACTAAAGTGCTGTTAGAAACCAAACTATGAACAAATAAGCAAGATAAGATTTTTCCTTTTTTTAAATTACCATAGTAAATAAAAATTTCAACTTCTTTTAAAAAAATCTTTATTTGCAAAAAAATCAGATTCAATGTTTTTAATCATACTTTTTTGGTCAGCAAGATGCCCGACGCATGTAGAAACCAAACACCGTGCTTTCAGAGTATCCAAACCAAGCTGAGATTTCCATGCATCCCACCTACACATGGAAATCCCAGAGATAAGATTGTTGGAATGGTATGCGCACTCTCTCCCTGGAGGGACGCATTCTGCTTATCTAATTCTGGAAAGTATTAGGCGCAGTTTGGCAAGAGTCAAGGCCTGGGGAACCTCATAGAATGCGATGGGGTACTGTTAAGAGTCTAACCAACTAAAAACGATCAGCTTGCCATGTTGCTGTCCGGCAAGCTTTCCAGCTGCTTGTCCAGCGTGGACCCCTGTTTTTAATCCTACAAGTAGTCAATGAACTATCAATGTTTGTGGGACATTGCTGTGCGCAATTGGCTGCCGCGTTCGCCCACAAATATACAGTCAATTCACTTTACAGTCTATTCTGTGAAGCGCTTTGGGACGTCCTCCCGACGTGAAAAGCGCTATATCAAATGCAAGGATTATTATTATTATTATTATTATTATAATGTTCCCCAGATCAGCATTAAAGATACCATTACAGTATTCAAAAAGGAGAAGAAAATTGTTCTCAGTGTTCTGGTGAACAATCCTCATGTTAATTGTTGAGCAACAGCTGCTCTCAACCTCCACGATTTCCTATTAGTGGAGTTCAATGAGTTGGAATTAGCTGTGGGCAGGAAGATGGTGCAATGTAAATAGGTAAATAGGATGTGTCTCTCAGGAAGAGATTGCACACTCTACTGTAGCCACAGCAACTTTCCAAGCACAGGTGGAGCTATCAGTCTGGGTTATATACTCTTAACTACAGTAATGAGTTTCTGCATATGTCAGACAAAACTACTAAGGTACTCACCTCTGTTTTGACCTTGAACGAGATCTTTTTGCTTGAGATTGAGATTGGGATCCTCTGTTTTTAACATCACTCTCTATTCCTATCTCTTGAGACAAAAAAATGAATATGTAAATACTCAGTAAGCGTAATGTAGACAAATGACAAACTATATGCAGAAAATCTAGTGCTATGATATTCAGTTTTATGTGTCGTTTCTTTTAGATGGCAAACTAATAGCAAAGATATAAAATCGGAACTTCATTGCTCCAACAGTGATGGTATAAATACATTTATAAAACATTTTTAACTATAAATAATTAAAATTCACAATTTGTCTTGCATCAGATATTGGAATTGTTTTATTTATTAGTTGTCAAACTTCTAAGGAATGGATTTACCCTGGAGTATTCAACATCAAAAATATCTGTTACTAATTAAAAATATAAGTTATTTAGAAAATGGACTCCTGATTGGGCCAACATCAGGAGTCCTGTAGCTCAGTGGTTAGAGCACTCGCTTTGCAAGCGAGAGACCTGAGTTCAATTCCAGGCAGGGCCAAACCTTGGGCAAGTTTCCTTACTCCACACAGAGCCTAATAATAATCCCTCCAAAACCAAAAACAATAATAAATTGGTCATTTTCAATCTACGATTGTTTGTGGGACATTGCTGTGCGCAATTGGCTGCCGCGTTCGCCCACAAATATACAGTCAATTCACTTTACAGTATATTCTGTGAAGCGCTTTGGGACGTCCACCCGATGTGAAAAGCGCTATATCAAATGCAAGGATTATTATTATTATTATAACATGGTTTTGTTGTTGAGTCTTGGCTCCCAGAAGCCTTACTGCAGAACTTTAACCTGCGTTATTCCTTTAAGCAGCAAAGTGCTATCAATCACTTTATTGCGTGGAGGCACACAACGAGACTGTCACTCAGATCACTGTCAGTTCTGATGCTCCTGGACATCAAAACGTCCACTGGGGGAAAAAAAAGCCTATATTTTTCTACTTCACTATTCACAAGATTATCCTTCCCCCAGCTAAAATAAAAACAACTTTTATTTAAAAACAAAATCTCCAATGGACACATGTATACGTGCACAATTTTTGCATAAGTGTATACGTGCACAATTTTTTATGTCACCATGGAAGGAATAAGTAAATGGTTATAAAGAAAACAATATTGACAGAGACAGGTAATCAGTATAAGTATCAGATTATACTTAAGATTCCTTCATTAGCCCTGAATTGATGTGGATTTCAGTATCCCTGGTACTATTTCAGAATTAATTAGTTTGTAGTGATAAACAAGGGCTGGATTTCCAAGTATATACAGTATATATCTATATTAAACTTGCAGGGCATGTCTCCCCTGATGAGCATTAAGCCAAACAGACCAAAATGTTGCTGCTCAATTTCTGATGAACTATGTACATATGGACATATGGCTTATGTACAGCTGGGTCAAAAATTGAGGCGTTAAGACTCATTAACTCAACTACAGTCTGTTGCTAGAAACAGTAAATGAGAGGAAGTCAGATAATAAGACGAGACTCAATGTCATTCTCTCCACCATCACCTAGCATTCCCCATGTAGATTCACATATGAAAAATGGTAATTTGGAAAGAGGCACCTGAAGATTGCCAGCACCATGGAACCATACTCCTGCAAAAGTCAGCTTCTTCACAAAAGGCGTTTAAATTGCCAAAATAAAATGAGCTATGGTTGCACTAGTTTAACACTTGGCTTTTCCAGGGAAGGACTTCAGTAGTTCTAATTCAAATTTACAAGAATTAGGTTCTTGACTAAACCTTCAGTGCAAAGAAAATGATTAAATTCATATCTTCATAAGATCTGGGATTTTAATGAAAATATCAGGCTTGCTTGTTTACTTCAACTTACCAATTCCTGGAATTGGTTCAATAGCTGCTGATATAAAGGACTGTGCTTCTCTTACTCTCTTCATTACTTCTTCAAGTTCTTTGGCAGCAGCCTGTGGTGTCATCTCAGGGGGCTTCACAATCGCATTATTAGAATGATTGATTCTAGGTTAAAAAAAACTTATTTTAAGCACATTGCAATAACTGGTTTGGCATATTTGGAGATATGGATCCAATCAATGGAATTAGCAGCATAACAGCCATCTAGGTAATTTGCAATATGGAATGTATGCAAGTTGTATAATTCTTTGCTGGACTGTTCTCAAAACCATCTGCCTGTGTGACTGGATGATTTAATGATGTGAAGAGATTTACACACAGCAGTGAAGTGAAAGACCAATTTTATTTGAAGCATTGTTGGCCAAGACAATGGGAGAAATTTCCTTATCTTTCTAAATAGAGCCATGAGATCCTTAAAGTCCACCTGAACAGGCAGATGAGACCTCAGTTTAACGACTCACTCAAAGGACAGCACCTCCAACAATATAGCATGCTCCCAGCATTGTATTTGAGTGTCAGCCTCGATTCTGAGTTCAAAGTTCTGCCGTGGGGCTTGAACCCCAATCCTTCTGACTCAGAAGCGGGAGTGCTACTAACTGAGCCAGGCTGACACTCAATTCATATAAAAAAATAACATTTTTTAAAAAAAAAGCCACAATTCTAATAAACCGTTTTTAAAAACCACTTAGCAAATGTAATAACTTAGTGGCAACTGCTTAAGCTCAACAAACAACTGAAAGAGTTTGGACAGTTATCTCAATTTTCCAACTTTAAGATTTATTGGGTAAAACTTTGATTAACTATTAGATTTGTATTTCATGATTGTGTAAAAGGTCATTTTGTGTTTATTTTTCTCAGCTGCATTTGCCTGATTGTACTGTGGATTGCTTATTTGAAGTACATTTTCATGTATTACAATATATTGGAATAACAACACCAATTGCAGTCATTATACCATCTGCTGATTTGGCATTTAATAAACAATGCCAATAAACAACACAATATGTAACGTGAAACCAAATAAAACATACTTTAAAGGTCGATCCCCAAACATGGCTCCGTTAAAGGCCAAAGCTCGTAGTACTGAACCCTGGTCAGCAAATTCCACAAAAGCAAACCGAGTTGGTTGAGTCTCATCTCCCGCCATACGAACAAACTTCACCTCACCGACTTGGCTGAAAAATTCAAGCAGCTGGTCTGCTGTTGTCGTCTTTAGAAAAAGATAAAGGTAAAACAGGCTTTCATATCATTGTTACAGCTAACAATGCATCTAATGTGAAATAGTAATGCAATTTTCAAATCGATTTATTAAATTGTGATACCCAAACAGGCAGTAAAGGTGTGGTATAAAAAAACATTCGCTCAAAAAATATAGTCAATTCACTTTAGAGTATATTCTGTGAAGCGCTCTGAGATGTCTCAAAGACGTGATAAGGCACTATATCAAAGATTATTATTATAGGAACCAGACCTACATTCTAGCCCACTTTATATACTGACCAAATAATCAAGCCTTCTCATTGGTAAGAATTCATAGCAAAACTCAAGAGTCAATTTTGAAAAAGTTCAATCAATTGTTATTTATAATCCATTGCATAGAATTTATTTTTAAGGACAGAATTTTTTCTTTTTTTAGGGTGAAAAAAGTTATTGGCAGGTTTATTGGACAAGTTTTTAAATTACCTGCGAATTCAAGTTTCCAACATAAACTGTTCTTCTGATTTCTTCAATCTTGGAAGGATCCACATTTCCTATTGTGGGGTGTTGAGCGTTTATTCCCAGGGCGGCAAAATTGGGATCAAGTCCTTGCAGTGCTCCCAGTGCACCAAAGGGAATAGAACCAACAACAGCACCCATTGCACTACCAACTGCATCAACGGCACTAATCTGTCAAAAGAAAATCTTGGTTTGAGAAGCATGTAGATTTCATATTACAATTTATATAATGCCATAAGCAATGCACAGTTAAATTATTTTACTACAAAGGAATGCTTATCAAACACTCAGGGTTTAAAATGTCACTTACTGAAGCAAGGGGGCTGCAAGTGGGGACTGGGAGCAATCCTGCACCAGGCATCAAGCCTGCAATAGAAGTGACAGGTGCCAAAAGGGCCAAGGCTTTGCTTTCATCTGGGATTTTTCCTGCGGAAGAAATAGAACAATTACTTAGGATAATGGAGCAAAATAAAATTGTTTATCCCATCTCAATAGCACCGATTGACTACTCTGAGAACTCACTTCTAGAGCCTTTCAAAAACATACAAACAAAGATGTCTTTTAACCTACTCTGCAATAAAATTAAAATAAAGATGTAAAACTGTCAAAACTGTAAGCAACCATATATTACAGGAAAACTTTTTTAATAATTAAAAATGTAGACAATAATTTAGCACTTTGAGCTATGGTCACCTGTACTTGAAACTTATTGGTCATGTACCATACGATATCAAGCATGGACGTTTTCCCCAGGCGATCACTCTCAGTGTTCGAAAGTTGTGTTACACACGACAACCGTTCATGTTGGCTGCATCGCTACTAGCACACAGAACATCAGATACAGAAAAGAAGAACATTTTTTAAAAATTTTTTTAGTCCCCAACAAATGACAAAGCCAAAATTCGAGAATTCCAATTTGTTTAATTTAAAACCAGCTAAACAAACGCAGTAGGAAATCAAAGTTGTTTACATATGAACTTACAAAGTTTCTTTTTTAATTTGATTTGTCCTGAACATCTTTAGTATAAATTATAGCCCTAAAATTTCATAACCATTTACCTGGTAAGTTTGTTGCAAACAAACAGAACATTATGTGCATCAGTATAATCTTACACTGTCAAGCGACCGCCAACTACAATGCAATGTCAATATGACTTTGCACTGAATTTAATGAATTCAACTTAATGCATTCAGATAGTTTTATAAAAATCAACACCCTGACCCTACTGCTCACAATGTACCACCACTATTATGCTGCTGCTCCCCAGTCTTCAAATACCAAAGATAATAGCTGAAAGCTTGTTTGCTGCGATTCAGAAATGTTTGTTTCTGACAGCACAGTATTAAGAGTGAAATTGTCAAAATAGGTTTTAATGTTTCACTTTATTATAAAAATCACAGCAAATTATTCTTATTGTCCCTGACACTGGAGTACCTGTTAAGAAAAATATCTTGTATTCAAAATTCTGCAAACAAATATTCATGGTGGCATGCAAGTGAAACCCTGAATAAATAATACCGAGAGGCTATGCTAAAAAAATAATGTAATAGGCAATTATTTCTGGTGATAATGATCAATTCATCTTAAAAATGGGTCATATCAAATTTAAATTGCTATCATCTGGATGATGATTTCAACATTAACTCAAACACTTCATTAAAACAAGTGAAACAAATTGTAATGTTTATAGTGTTGTGATTTTCCAACAAAACTTAACAGGTAAAAGCAGTTCAAATTTAATGTTTTTAGGAATTTAGAAGGAATGCTGTAATCTTTAAAATAATTGTGCTGTATTTTATAACTACTTAAATTATCTTACCATTTTATGAAAAAGTTTAACACTACAACTATGATAACTTTAGATGTTAAGCATAAGAATTGATATACGTTTGAGGATGCACAATTAGCACTTTAAATTACTGGCAGCAGTAAGATGCTGAGCTTACCCTACAAATGATTCTTTTTAAAAAAAAGGTTGTGGTCAAAGCTCGCCCATTCTATTATATGATCAAAGCACTGCATTTCACGTCTACCACTCCATGTTCTGTTTTGTACCACACAATGCTTTTTATATACATATTCGCCTTTTCTTAAGACAGTTGAATGTAGAGATAGATGGATTGATAAATAATTTGTGTAACACTATATGAACACCTGCAGGAAATTGGAGCAGTATTATTTTGAATGGGTATACAAACTTCAGTAAAAGTCTGACTATTAAAAACACCATAGCTACTTAATTATAGCATACAACAAAGCATAACACACAAAACATTGTATTAGAGGCTATATATGTGGTATAAAATGGACATAAATTGTGTTTACTTGTTTAGCCACTTTCATTACAGTTTACAAGTTAGTAACAGTGTTCTTATAGCTTTTAGGTAATATACATATGTACAAGCACACAGAAACCGTTTACTAAAAAAGACTTCTCACTGTGCAACTGAAAACAAACGCAAGTCTTAAGGATACTATTACATCAAATTAAAGATTCCGATGGCATAAGTATGCCTTCAGATAATGTTGCTGAAAATCAACGCTTAACATTACAGTTGAGTATAATGCAAAATCTTAAGAAGCAAGGACATACACTTATCTTTTGAAATATTAAGAGAAAAAAGTACAATTAGGAAACAAATCCCACAAACAAATCCACACACCCCCAACAAACACACACACACACACACACACACACACACTCTCTCGCAAAAGTACCAAATCAATCAACAGTATTTTGGTTAGAGAACATTTATGAAACAATACATTGCAAGGTAAGCAAGGCTAGTTTACAAACCGAAAATGATTAAAATGTTTAAAGAGAAGAGATGCATACAGGGGACAAATAAAAAGTAAAAAGACAGGGTGTCCATCTTGGAAGATGTCGACGGGCAGTCTCCAGCCATTATCCCCCCGTGAAGATTTTGCTTGGTGGCAGCATTAGTGGCATGGCAAACAATGCCTACAGTAGGCAAGTGTACAGGTCTGCCTTCGCCAGTCTAGTCATCCACTAATGCACACACATCACAGAGAAAACATACAAAACCAAATTAATATTGGTACTGGGATTCCATCTACCATTAAGTATGGTTAATAAAGAAAATCCTTAAGTTAATCAGGATACATTTCAAACTACCAATAGGTTTCTACTTGAAAACATGGTATACCTGCAGGAAAAGAACCAGCCTCTGGTTTAGATTATATAAAAGTTACTTAATGCAGCTGCTATACCATTTATACTTAATCCCATACAACTGAACCACCATTTGGAGCACATTAACGTAAATAAATTAAAATATTCAAAAAGACACTCAGTGATGATTAAAACTGCAGATATTAGAACCGGAACAGTAGGTTTTATGTATCTGTGAAAAAAATTACATCAAAACCTACCGAAGTATACAAGATGTTGAATTGTATAGTTGTTATGGAACATGGCATGAGAAGGCATTTTATTAAAGAATCTTAATTTTGAACTACAAAGGATACACACTCTCCAAGTAAAACATGAACAAATCAAGAACTGGCCATTTAAAAAAGATTTTTTGCCAAGTGTGAAAATGTCAATTGTTTTAAAATAAAGCCTTCACCTGCCACATTTCTCAGTCGGCAAATAACCTCAGAAGAATGTCACTTCAACATAATTAGGTGGATGTCACCATATTATTAGAATGCTGTAGTTAGTTGACTACAGTAACTCTGGATATGATGAAATAAAACTATGTATTATACCACAGAATACACTGTCAAAGCCATTCCCTAAAACATGTTCACTACATAACTGAATCCTTAACTTCTTTCAAGATGTTAAAGATCGTGTCTAATTGATCATCTAATCAGTTGACATTGGGTCAAATTCATGTTATGTCTTAACAAGATTCCTTAATAAGCAATCCGAGTCTCACAATGGGGACTTCTTCAGGTAAACGCCCCCATCCATAGGAACATTGCTCCAACACAATCTACTTCCAGAGTGCAATTCCCTTGAGTCAACAAAACCTTGAACTGGATTCCTTATTAAGAAATCGCGTCAAGAAATAATGAAAGCTAGAACCCAATGATGATACTGCCTACGTCAACACTTTTGGAAAGCTTGTCATAAAGTTCAACATGAAAGAATCCTAATTAAACTAAAAGCACATAAGTATTCTAGCTAGAACATGGACATAAGTAGTTGGTGAAAAATATGAAGTACAGTATAATAGTCCTCTAATGTCAGAATACAGGCAATGCTAAGTGGAGCCCCATGAAGAGTCCATATTTATGACCTATATGGAAATTGATATTGATTGTAAACTTGCAAGATTTAATGATGACATTAAAATAGAGACATCAATGGAGACAAAGGATGCAACAAAAAAAATTACGAAAGATTTTGTAATGTGCACTTGGACAGAAAAATGGAAGATGAAATAAAGCTCAAATGAACATTGGAAACGTAATTGGCAAGCAAATGTGCATCATCAGTGTACATGAATGAGACTGACCTAGTACAGGGAGGCCTGGAAACAAATCTCGGATGAATGGCAGATTTAACACCATCAATGGGAGGTGAATATGGAATAGCAACTAAAAACCTCAGCAAAAAGAATCCTGGGATATATTAATCTCCAGTTTTACTGTAATTCTGGTAGAATACATTTCTATAATTATTTCTTGTCACAAGGCCAGAAAAATGTAAACAAGCTTTGAAGACAGTGCAAAAAAAAGCAACATGATTGTTAATAAGAATCACTGCATTTGATATAGCAAATTAAAATGTTTAATTTTAATAAGAAGAATCCTTGCATGCAACATAAAACCTTTACATTAAATCCCATGAAGCACTTTGAGACATTGTCCTTTCATGACAGGATGTCATCTCAAAATGCTTCACAGGATTTACTGCAAAGAGTAGTGACAGTCCAATTTGTAGACAAAAATGGTATAAGAAGCTTGAACTACAAGGAAAGATGAGAAAAACTTCAGTCAAAATAGGCAAGGTAAATGGAAAAGATGAGGTATCATTTATCAACCAATTTTATGTTTAAAAAATCTTAGGCAGAAGCTAACCAAATATTAAAATGTTATCATGAAGAATCATACTTGATACTTTAACCTACTTTTCTTTGTCAGAGATTGATTAGTCTGATGTAAATTTTCACTATTTTCATTTCAATGTTACTATGGGATTTTCTTTACAAAAGTTTCTAGTGAATCTAATAGCTTATAACTCGAATAGCTCTAGCTTTTAGAGAATGGCATTAAATATTAGTACTAAATAAATCAGATTGAAATAGCTCCACTGAATTTTTCCCTGCAAGACATTAGAATTCCTAATATTCCAACCTTAAATCTACATGGAAAATGCAAAAACTGCCAACCTACTATTGTTCTTGCTGAATTTGTTTACAAACACTGTTAAAAGTATAGTTTTAAGATACCAATATTGGCAAAATATTTTCACTACTCCAACTATACCTTTCAGTCTTGTTAAAACAACTTTTTTTTTAAAACTTTTGTCACTCAAGTTACTTTGCAAACAGATCACACAAACAACTATAAGATTTCTATCTTGCACTAGTAGCTTGACTGCAATAAAACACATCAGAACAGTATCTTGGTAGACTTGCTTTAAAATTTTGGGCTGTCCATCAATTCGTCATAAATCAAATAACATGATTATTTCTAACAAAGCATACTATGCATGTTAAGTCAGAAACAAACTTATTTTCCTGCTTGAAAAATAAAAGACAAAACTGTGCATGTACTGATGAATAAACTCAATACCATATTGATACATACAATAAAAGCAAGTTCATGGAATCCATACCCAACATTATGCATGTATTTTTTTGCTAGTATGACTTTGGTGTTTAGCATACTATAGAGTTGTAAAATGTTTGGTCTAAATTCAATCTCAGTCATTGTTCAGAGGTTATATATCTTGTGCCAATTGTTCAAATTTTATTTACTTCACTTTTGGTCGTACTACTATCAGTTACATACATTAGATACAGCCAACAAAAAACTTCAATCTTATGTATGCTTACTGCTACATTTGTCATGCTTTGACATAGTTAAATGAGTTACCACACTAACCACAGACTGCATACGTTTTGTTTTTTATTGTGCATGGTAAACCGTTTAATTTCTTCCCTATTCTAAAGCAAATGTTCAGTTTTGCCTTCACAAATTCTTTAGTTGTGTCTTTTGCAACTTATTCGAACTTCCAGAAATCAGATCCTTCATGCAAAATATTGCTCAACACTTAGCAATGCATATATTACAACACACAATTGAAGAATCTGTGTAAGATTCAATAAGAGGATCATGCACTTTCAATAACACTTGAAAGTTATTTCGCTCAGTTACAACGTACAATTCAAATAAGTCATAGAGCTATTGAGTTTACACAAAGCCTTAGTACCTACCTTCACCGTAGGGTACAACTATCAGGCCTCTGTCTATAAAAACCACGTTTGTTAGATGCTGGGCCACACCAACACTCACAGGATCGTGATATTTAATGTAACATACCCTTGATGAAACCGGGATAGGCGAATTGCTGCAAAATACAAGAGAACCCAGAATGAGCTGATTAAAATTATATTTATCCAATAGAGCTCCAATGTATTTTTATAAAACCATATTTTAAAAAAATCACTTTTATGTTTTGTAACACAACTTGTTGCACAAAGTCCATGTACTTTAAAACACACGTCGGTTTAGCACAGCCCACTTATCTGCTGGGTACCAGCTGTATCACAGGCGTGGCACACCCCTGGCACCGAATGGATGGTTTTCTGTACATGGGCACTATGAGAAGGAAGAAGCACCGCTGATATCACGTCACACAGGAAGCGACATCAGTGGTGCTTCCTTGGCATAGTGACAACAATAAAAAGAATAACAACAAAAAAATTACATTTATGAAGCGTCTAGGGATTGGGGGGGGTCGGGAATTAACTTCTGGGGGTTGGGGGTGCTCTGGATGTTTGGGGGGGGGTTGGGGAATGAACATCTGGGGTTTGAGGTGGTTCGGGAATGAAGGTCTGGG